CACCATGGATCCTCTGCAGGTTGTTGGTTGGGAAGGAATTTTTGGATTTCTAGTACGCTTTTCGGCATGATAATCCTTCATTTCGCTATCGGCAATACCGAAAATGGGAGGCACGGATATTTTGATATGAGGGAAGGGTGGCACAATACGACTACGAATAAGGCTGTTGCGATATCGGGCATACTAATCATGATCAGTATAGGGTATGTAAACGCTTGCATTTCCTACCAGTTTTGAAGATCATAACTGACATTACCCTCAGCGGCTTCAACTTTTTTGGCCTCAGTGTCACTCGATCTGTATCTGCCACTTCCCGCAGCACCATCGACACGTGCCGCACTCTCTTCATTTGGATGATATCTCTTGGTCTTGGCTGGGAGTCCTTCAAGTGGCTTCAGGTAGTTGGCTTCGCTATGCTTGTTTACGGCACTTTCCTTTTCAACGATATCGTCAACCCTCCTCTGAAAGCCTGCGTACCGACACACAGGCCAAGGGAAGAGCTATTTCCGGAAGAGCCCATCGAACATATCTAAACAGGCTTAACTTCCACACTTGTAAAATTTCCGGGAATTTTCCGGGAATTTTCTTCCGGTAATAACCAACATGTTATAGGCTATATTCAGACTTGGAAATTTGGTGTTTTCTGGAATCCCATTCCATTTATAGCTCACATTTCATTCACGTTGGTGGAGCATTGGTTATGGCATTTGACGGCGTGTTGTTGTGTATGGGTCTTATTTTCCAGCTCGTTGGCAGGCGTTAGTTACTTCATACGTTATGATCAACTTTTCATTTGTTCATCAACGCAATTTTTGCTACATTCTTATGTGTCAACAGTTTAGTATTTTGGTATGATCCAATTCAACGTCTTCAATCATAAAACTCATGTCAACTGAAGAATCTTCCCCATTGCTATCTGAAATTTTACGTATTACGCTATAATTAGTTCCCTCTCGTTGGCTTCAACACACTATAAACCATCTTCTCAACGTCACACCACAACGGAAGTAACTTTATATCCAGCAAATGGCAAACTCCGGCAGCAATAATACTCGCAATACTATTACGTATTCTCCCGATCACACCACCACCCGCCCCACATTTTTCAGTCCTGGGAAGACTTGTGGATCAAAAGCTCGCATTAGTTACCCCAAACTCTCGGCCCGTGGATGAAATGGTAGGGTTACGGATTGAGGTTTGGCTACACCTGGGCGGAAACTTGGAATCACAACCAGAGATTCAAAAGTATTATGATGAACCTGGCCTCGACACCTAAGGTGAGGGGTTTTTCTGTATATCTTTCTTATCTCTCAAATTGATCTCCTATTTGCAGTTTCCGTAATTTATCAAACTCTTCATTCTAACTCTAATTCACCCTAACCCTGTGTGGAAGAGGACAACTTTCGAACATCGCCATCGCCATATCATCCTCGGAGGAGTCGGCGGATAAAGTGATTACCGCACTCTGATAACGGATACGGTGACTGCCGTCACAATTTGTTTTTATCTTCTAAGGGATGATACCCCGTAGTAGTCTCTGATGGCTTGAGTACAAACGCATCATTTGCTCAATAGACATTATTGGAGAGATCATCACGCGTAGATAGAAAAACTACTGGGTACTTGATGTGTAAGCTAAAAGGTTTATGTGTACAAATAGGGAGGACTATCATACAGTCTTGAGCAAGTGGAGCTGAAAATAAGAGGAGATTATTTACAGAACTTCATAGGTTGGTAAGAGGGGAAGAATAGAAGTGCATAGAATTGTTTTTTTTTTTTTTTTTTTTTCCTTTTCCCTTTTCCCCCTTTTCCTTTTTCCTTTCTGTCCCCATACTCTAGAATTTCCGGTTCTTGAGAATTTGTAACTGGAGCGGCCGTCTAGGGCATTTTCTAAATGGAGTAATACAACAGAGGACGATTTTCCTAGGTCATTATGCGTAAAGAGGGGCTGGCAATTGCTGGTAAATTCGTTGAGGGTATCTAAACAAGGACGTAAAGTGCGCACATCTAATAGAGCAGTCAGCACATTACTCGTCCAGCAAAATAAAACCCCGCCCACGGAGCCGACGTACAAGGGAAAGCCCAATAATCATTGAAATCCAAAAACAAACGTTCTAACGGTTGACTCAGAAGTTAGCAGCTGGGTTGCTTACTGGTGGCGTTTTGCTTGTTCCAGAAAAGCTAGGATCAACTACTCACATTGAGAACCTTTCGACCCTTGACAAACTTTGAACGCTGCACGGCAACAATGGGTAGCTGCATCATCATGGCAAGAAAGCCATAGCCCCTGATTTTCTTGGTGATACAGCTCATTACCAACTCATGTCCAATGGAGCTCACCAAGAATGTAATGAACATCGCCTCAGAGTTGGAAAAGCGAGTCAAAGATGAAAAATAAACGTGGCGCCGGAGGAAATGATGAACCGGGATATTCCACTCTCTGGAGAACTCCAGCCTATTGAACGTAGAAGTTAGCTTATTGGAAAACGCAATGGTATGTCGTAGAGGTATAAGAGGCGTCCGTACCAATCGCAGGAATTCCACCAGTCAGCGTAAAATTTGCGGTCCGCAAAGCGGGTGATTTCCGCAAAGGCATTTAGCGTATATTCGAAAATGACAAGAAACACCAACAGGAATGTTATCATAAAGGGCAATAACAGCATGCTAATAGTTTCTGCAAGGACTAAAGCCTTCTCAGAGCCGCTGCTCAGGTCCTGCAGTCTGACCGCAGATTCGTCTAGAACTGGAACGATGAACTCTTCGCTAACATGTGTAAGTAAGAAAATACAGCCAAAAACAGCCAAAGTCTTAAAAAACACCTCCATCCACCGGATTTTTTCGGTTCGAGGGTATTCTAATTCATAGCATAGCGTAGGGCAGAGCAGATAATCCACATAATTGTACAAAGTTAGATTTTGGGGGTATGAAACCTGACCGAGAGGAGATGTTAACTCCGTTGCAAGGTCCGAGCGGAGTTTAGAAATCGATCGCTGGGATTCACCCTCCTTTCCGTTATCTAACTCCGTATTCTCTTCCATTGGTCGACTCTCCAATCGTGGATACCGAACGGCTGCAGATAGTGAATTGGCTTCTGGTTTATCCAGAGCGGATAAGCGATGCTCTGTCTCGCTCAAATGTCCGTTGTAGAAGGCGTAGGAATGCATTTTCATCAAAAGAGTTAGTGTGTGTAAAATGAAAAATACCTGAGAAGTCCAAGTCCAACGAAGTATGAACGGCAAACTGGAGAGGAAGAAAATATGTCAGCGATTACCCTTCCCGCAAAGTAATACAATAAATAAGACACATACGCTACCCATAAAGCGAGCCATGCGGCTTGAAAGCAACTCTGAAATATCATTCCTCCGTTTGACCATCTTAGCCAGCCCTCACTTCTTTCTAATTTTTAAATGGAGCGGGAGAGACAGTGCAGTACTCCGAAACCATATCAAGGTCGCACATACTCAGCTGCCAAACATTCGCCGATTGC